AGCAGGCCTGGGAAAGGGGAACTGTAGCTTCTGGAGCCAGTCAGGTGTGGATGGCATGCTACCCTGAAAAGATTCACCCTCTGTGAAACCCTTACTAATTAACTTGTTCTTCCACTATCCCGTCATTAGGTGCCATTGCAGTGCTGCTTCTCATCTGTTCTGTTCTCTGTAGCCTTTTCCCTCAAGTGCTTCATTCTTCAAGAGAGGGATGGTGCACAGTTAAGGCTATCTGCATTTTTAACCCTCCAGTGGGTTTAGAAGGAGGAAGATGTTGCATTTTCACAGACAGCAGCAGAGAAAATTAGCAAAGGAAGGAATGAAGTGGCAATAGATTGATTTAAAAAAAGAGGAAAAAAAGGAGAGAAAATTGTACAGAAGTAAGAGTGTGTACAGAGGTTCAACAGTTACTTAGTTTGACTAGCAAAAAGCAGCAAAGAAAGTCGAGTCACAAAGAAAACACGGGTAAGAATTCAACTATGAACTCGTGTGTCTGAAATACTTCCTTCTGCTTTCCTCTTCTGCAAAAGACAGAGACAGAGAAAGAACACACAATCCAGAACCATCATAAAAGGTTGATACCAGAATACCCAAAACTGCCCTCAGGACATGATGTTTGCTTTGTCAGGGGATGATGCACAGGAACAAGGTTCTTTGAGATAGATGGGTTTTTTAAGGAGATACTTGCCAGAACTAATTAGCCCTCACCTGTCTGTCTTTTAGAGATAAAAGACACCTGTTCAGCCTGCTTTGGTGCTGCTATTTGGAATTTAAGACATCTAGCTAGGGGACAAATTAACCCCTGAAAAAACAGTTGATGTTTTTGGCAGAAACTGACTGAAATAGCCCATTCAGCTGACGTGATACTAAATTCCAGGGTCAGCAACAGATTCAGTACCAGTCTCCATTCTGCATTCTAACCTTCAATTAAAATTAACCAGGAAAAAAATCCAATGGGACATTAAGCCTTGCTAGAAACTAGCATCCCAAGTTCTTTGTTGGACCTGGGTCTAGATGCTTATTTTGAAATCTCTAGATACCCCCTAAGTGGTATGTGACAGCACTTTCCCCTGCAGCATATTCCATCAGTCACCAGCAGATGCCAGCTCTGCAGAGCTCAGAGTTCTTGTACAGTTGTCTAAAGGCAGGAGTAAAGCACTCGCTGACTTCACGCGTGTTTTAACTGGGCTCCCACTGCTATGCACAAACACTAACTCAGAAAGCTGGAAAAGAAAAGCCATTGCTCTTAACATATAGCTCTTAACCATAGCTCCAGAATGGCCAGCAGCATATTTTTGTTAGGCTGCTGTGGCTTTTTCACATCTCTCTGGTTTTACTGATTTTGCAAATGAATGAACAGGAAGATTTGCACCTGCACATGAAAGAGAAGTCTTTTCAGGTATAATTAGGGTTGGAAAGAACTTACACAGGTGTATTCTAGTAAAACAAATCTGTTACTCTTTAACCCTTGGTCATCAGCATCTAGCAAATATTTACCCAGTTGAAATGACAGTTCAAAGGTTTCTGCTGAGAGAAGCAAAGAGAAAAGATGTCCATAGGACTGAAAAACAAGTGAAGGGAACAGATACACACAGTAGCAGTTTGTTTTAAAAAGTGCTTTGAAAATACTGTACACTATTTGTCAACATTTTCCAAGCTTTTCCAGTCTTTTCTCTCTTCAATAAATCTGAAACACTATGTTGGACACACCCTTGTAGAGCCCTTATAAAGCAGTATCAATGAAACTGCAGTTGCTCAGATGAATGGCACATTGCCCATCCATACCTGAACACGTGTAAGGTATCAGGAAACATCTATCCCCCTAGAGAGCACAGGGCTAGGAAACATCACGGTGATGCAGAGGACAGGCTACATTACAAGGAAACATACACTCATCACAGCCACTTCATCACTTCCACTTAACTGCTTATACCAAAACCAAAGAGGTCTGGAAGCTTTTCACCAAATTTAGGGAACAGTCGGCAAGCCAAAAATCCTTTTAAATAACAACTGCAAATCATCAAGACACTAAGGGAAAACACATCTAGTTGAATACGGTGCCTCTAAGTTTATTTACAGAAGAGATCAATAAACCCTTTACTCTCTTACAGATTGTTTATACAGATTGTTATTGTTAACTTATGTACAAGACATCTCCCAGGTGAGCTGAAGGAGATCCACTGAAGTTACTGAAGCTTTGTCGATTTACAGACTAGGACCCAGCCTGTAACTTTCTAACAGCAAAATATAAAAAACTTACAGTATTCACTGCCACAGCAGTAGATTAGACAGTACTACAATACAATCAAGAACTTACTCACTTAAGCATTAGTCTGCAGTGTTTTTCTGTTCTCTCACCTTCATTCTCTCCCACTCAAAATATTAATGTTACATGCACTTAACGCTTTCGCTTCTTTTGTGCCTTTGGATGATACTCACCTCTTCTTTGCCACTGTCTGGCACCCTGCAATAGACATCTCCAGTGGATGGATCATAGGAGTCTATGTAGGAGGAACAAGGAACAAATTTGCCAGCTATAAAATTTTCCAGCACTAAGAGAGCCTTTGAGTGAGCCATTGTTAGTCGCTTGCTTCATCTGCTATTTTTTTTTCTACGAGGTATCAATTTAGATTAGCAGGTCTGCATGTATTTGCACAGCGAGCCTGAACTCCTCCCCCTCTCTCTCCGTCTTCCCCGCACCGCGCGCTCACAAGTGGGAATGAACCCTGGCAACAACAGCAGAAGAGAGGAAAGGGGAAAAAAAATACTAGTTCTATGACACTTGGTTCTTCTCTAGGAGTTGAAGCAGGGAGGCAGGATCAGCTTACCTGTTAGAAAACTGTTCTATAGGAAATAAAGTACCGAAAAAGAGGAAGGAAAGAAAGGTTTGACAGGGAAATTTCTCCCTATACCAGTTTTTCAAGCTACAGTCTGAAGATATTTTGCAACAACTGTGCAAAATAATTCAAGACTCAAACACCTCAGCAGGGACCTGCTCCTTACCATCATTAGACACAGAGAAAAGACACTTGGGACAAGCTTATGTTCACTGCTTTGTCATCATCAATACATTTCCTTGCAACCCCAAAAACAATGCTTCTGCCAAAACAAGATTTTAAACATAAGAAACCCTTTTCTTTTTTTTTCCACTAATAACCCCAAACATAAACAATACAAAAAGCTGAGTGGCCCTTTAATTCCAAACAGTTGAGAAGCATAATCCTACCTGGTACACTCTGTTGTATGTTGTCAGAAACCTTGTTTTTAAAAAAGAAGGAAGACACCAGGTTTCATGCCTTCCCTTCCATAGATATTCCAGTGGAAGCCAACCTCCTATAGAGAAGCCTGTTACATACAATTAGGTTTTTCTTTAACTTCCCAAAAACCTGAACTGCCCAGTAAGAGCTGTGTAAAAGACATTTTTCTCCAAGAGAGAATGCTTAACTTACCATATTGCTCTAAGATTGCATGTCACCTCCTTGCACTCCAGAGATATTCAAAACACTCCATCCATATTGGAGACCAGTACGTTCTCACCACGAGAAAGTTTAGAAAATTTTTGCACCCTAGAACATTGCCAAGCCATCAAATTTCTTGTGGATCAACATGCAAACATATTTTGATTGAATAAAGGTAATATGTTTTCATTGCATAACAACACATCACTTACGCACCAACCAACTGGTGCCTCTGGGCAGAGTTCAAATCAGTGCTGAAAGGTAGCGCAGTCATGTTGAAACTGGATTAGGTAATACCTCTGGCTCTCCCAAGCTACAAACCGGGAAAGCATGCAGTAGCTTTTCTGCCGTCAGAGAATACCAAGTCTCAAAATTTAATGCAAGCATGTGTCAGAAGGGTTACCAGAAGTTCATCCTGTATCACACCTCCTTGTCCACAAACAGCAAGGAGTTTACTGAAGTCTTAAAACTGAAGACACACTTAGAAGCAACCTAATAATTTTCAAAGTTTGAAGGTAAATTCTATTGGAACCGGTTCAACGTAGGAGCTTGGCAGTACAAATCTATGGAATCCAACAAGTGCACTGAAACCTTCACAGCTGGCATGTTGAAACTGGTTAAGTATTTAAATGCCATTTCTGGACTATAAGAAGATATACCAAATAGTGATAACCATCGAGCTTCAGTTTTGGCAGTAACAGTTTTCAGATATTTCAGATTAATAAGATTTTACAAAAGTCATTTCCACATAAAGCATTGCTAATACTTCTAAAAATGTGCACGCAGTCAACAGTACAATTTAGCTATGTGGTTAAGTGCAGTTATCTGCTGAATTGTGGCTAAAGCAAGTAAGTGTAAAAAAAAGTTACCCACCAAAAAAAAAAAAATCTCATGGGAAGAGTAGGTATGGATCGTACATGAGTACGAACTAAATAACGATCATTGGCTTTTTGTGTTCTTCATTACACAGGGCAGAGCTTTACTGCCCCAGTGACTGATGCTCTGGAATCAGTACTTCAGTTCCTCTCCCACACTACTAACTATGGTCAAAGTAGAGCTGTCTCCATCCTGCATTCGCATACAGGTCCTGAAATACCTGAGGTCCTCTCATATCTCTTATTGGGAAAAAAAAAAAAATAATCTTTAAAGTTGTAGTAAAGTATGTCTGTCCTGAGCTGATGCTGGAGGTGTCAGAAGGACCCTCTCTTCAGTTGGGAGGTTTCACCTACCCTATTACTGAAAAGGAGGAAGGAGTTACAGACTTGAATAAGAACAACAGTTTAGCTTTAGCATACATTCCAAGATTAAACTGACAGTTTTTGTTCAGAAAAGCACTAAGGTTGGATGAGAGAGATGGGTATGCACAGTAGCTGCACTGACTCACGTGAGAAAAACTGAAATTATTTCCACAGAAAGACAAATCGCAGCGCTGTTTCTCATTTTAACTCATAGTTTACTCTGAAACTTTTGAGTTATGGAAAGTAAAGAATGATTTAACATAATTTAGAAGTGTTTAAATAACAAAAGATGAAGGAGACGAAGTTATGCTCAGACGACGTTATTTTATTATCCTTACAGTTTAAAAAATAAAATTAGCCAGTGTTGGCACAGCTTCCACTACACAGCAAAAGAAAACTTCTTTTTTTAAATAAATTTTGGGACAGGGAAAACAATCCCAGGATAATACTACATGCCATTCTCTTGAAACCCAAGTTCTTTTTTTTTCCCTGAATATGCATTCAACTCAAACCTAAAAATATATTAGACCAATAAACTTACTTTACTGAATTAATGTGCAGCAAAAAAGCTAATCAGAGAAAATATGTAAACAATTTATGTCTGGAAGTAAGGAGTTTGTTTCACGATGATTCATCATCTTTTCCTCTAACTCAACTTTCTAAGGTTTTTCCATCAAGCTCCCTAAGGGTTAAATTCCACATGGAGAAACATATGATTCTTCAGATTGAGAAGTGCAACATTAGCAGTTCCTTGTCAGTTGGCATCATCTTCTGCAGTGGGAGAGACTGATGAAGGGCTACCAGACATCTCACACCATTTAATTTTTGTCATCATCATCATCTTCTCACCAATTAATTGCACTTGTTCCTTCAACTGAAGTAACTGGATTCTTAAACAGAAGTTTGGATATCTGATTGCATTTTGGTTGGACGGTGAAGTTCTGGCACCACTGTCACTCTTTGATCTAAAAATATAAGCAAATGGAAAAAAAAAAACCTATGGTGAAAACTGAAGTACTACATGTAAAACGACCACAGGTTTTTTCAACACCATATAGTTATCTGTGGAAAAAATAATTCCATTTGCTCTGAAATTCTCTGGAACAATATCAAAAGCACTAAAACAGTAACTCCTAAATAACAATCAAAGAGTTATTTATTCTGCAATTCTACAAACACTGGGCATCATAGATCTAAATAGTACCCCATTCACTTCAAGTTAAATTTAACAAAAAATGGGTGCAAGAATAAAGCCCTAATTCTGGATCCGATTTAACACCAGACAGATTGTTAAAAGCATTAAAGCTCCCTAAAGCCCAGAGCCTCCAACAGATCTAGCACATAATTCCTATGCACACAGGGAGAAGCCAGAAATTCTCAAGCTCTAGTTCCAGGCTTTGACTCAGTACCAGAACATGGTTAATGTGACTAAATTGCTCTCCCTCAGGCCTACAATTAGACCTTAAATTCTAATCCAAAACTCACAGCAAGATTTTTAAAGTGACAGATGGAGGAACAATCCTATTTTATGCTCATAATAGAAGGCAAAACATTTATATTTAGCCCTACAGCCTTTGCTTTCTCTCCCTTACACAGGATCAGAAAATGTCTATAAGGCATCAGTAAGAATCAAATGCACATTTGTCTTTAATGCTAACAGAAAAAGATCTGGGAAGCAAATTACCTACAGTAAAAATTGCCAACTCTTATTAATGACCTACTTCTGGTATATTTATACAGGCAATTAGATTTCAGAAAAACTGATGTATGTTAAAAAAGTGAAGGGTTATTTTTTAACTTGAGAGAGAGGGAAAAACGCACAATATTCAAAAATTCTAAATAGAGTAATTTTTGCTCCTAATAAACTGAACAGAACTGTGGCAAGTTTTCCTCACACCTTGCTAAAGTACTGTCTCTTTTCAGCAGAAAAAATTCACTTTTTAGGTCAAAGTGTGTAAAATAGTTCTTAACCATAAAAACTAAATGCTATGTGAAAGTTAACACTGTTCCTTTATAGTATAGAAAGTCTATTACAAAAATGCCATACCTCTGTGACAACTCCTGCAGCAATAGTGGAACCACTGTAGCGTAACATAAACCTCCCAAGCTCTTTAAAATCTTTATACAGCTCTAGAGCGATAGGTCTTTGAGTTTGTAGTTCTATTAAAGCGTTCTGCCCTTTAGTCAAGCACCTGTGGGCAAATAAGCAGAAAACACATGTATGCATAACTGAAAGAGAGAACAGTGAATAAACAGAAAAAATAAAAAGACAGAAGTATAATGATCAAGCTTGACTTGACAAGTATAAGCCAAACCACCAGACTGAAAACTCATTTCGCTGGAGCATATATTTTTAAAAAGGAATCAGAGTTTTCTTTAAAAACTTCTAGAGAAGGGCATCCACCACAGAATTTAGCAAATTGTGTTGAAGTTAATTATCTCATTAATACCTGTTTTTTCATGTCTAGTAGAAATCAAATCTTGTTTCAAACCTAACAAGTAAAGAGCCAATTCACTGCTCTGTAGAAGTCATGATTTTTCTTTCTATTACCTTTCAGCAAGTTTCAGCCATGCAATTTCTGTAAAAGGATTATTCTGATAATGTTGTATGTATCAAATACCACTTCTACCCAAACACAGCTGTAAATAACTAGAGGGATATTCCCACAGTTTAACTTGTATGGGAAGACTACCTAAATCTCTTTTTCTCTGACACACTGTCTAGTCAAGTTTATTTTAAACAGCAACCCACCACCAGAATTATACCAAGGATCCCATGCTATTACAGGAAGAAAAGAGACAATGAAAATAAATAAATTAAAATAATCCTTTAGATGCAGGGCTGGTGATCTAGGATTCACTCCCAATTCTGCAAGTGACCTTACGCAAGTCATTTTACTTCTCCGGTGCTCAGCATTTATCAAGTGGACAGACGGGTTTTCACTTGGTAAAGCACTCTGAAATCTAAACATGAAACCAACTAAAACATTGAAAGTATATTCTTATAAACACATATAATGTGTAATATTATATTTTATAATAGATCCTGCTTGATATACTATATATTAATCAAAATTCAGCTCATTTCTTAGAGTAATTATTAACTATTCAAAACACTTACTTAGGTTTTTTCTTTGTCACTTCACCAGTACTTTTGTGCAGGACACTCAACAATCTTCTAATAGTAGCAGGTTCACTTACTGTTTGATAGTGTAAGAGCACCTAAAAACATTTGTTTTCCAGTCATTAAACATTCTACAATAATCAGAACACCTAGGTGTTATTACATGAAAACATCAATTTCTTTTAAGACTCATTTTTTAAACAAATACTTATAAACGTCTCTCACAACAGTCTCTGCCTCACATTCAGTAACTGTTCCTAGTTCCTAAACTTTGTGATCTCTACAGATACGACACAAAGGTCATATATTTATGATGGATTAATACATTTTTCATTCTTAAGTGATTTGCTTTTGCCACTTCAGTGCAGTTCTGTAGCATGAACTGATATTTTATTTCTTTTTAAAGGTATCTTACAGCTACGTGCATAATTATACTCCTACAAGGTGTGAGCTTACTAAAGGACAACCTAGCCTGACTGTGGTGGAAATCATGCACAGTGAAATGGCTCAACTATGTATTAAAAGCCAGTAAGAATATGCATAAGCAGCCACAGTAGCCCCTTACATCCTCTTCAAATTACAGAAGAATCCGTCTCCTCTGGAGAGACGGAACCAGTTCTAGATGCTAAATGCCTCTCATATTTGGGAGGGTTGAACATGGAGAGAAAAAACCCTGAGCACCTTGCAGTGAACACGGGAACTTTCACTGAGACTTACAGGAAATCCTTTAGTGATTGGAACTTCAATATTGAAGATGAGAACCCGAGCTCTGAAACGAGTGCAGACTTTAATGGGTTCCTTGGGATCACAAAATACACAGCCAACACTACAAGAGAGGAGAACAAGAGAAACTGATATATAGCTTGACATACAAAAGTTAATCACTGCACTGGAGAAAGATAAATATTTAAGACAAGCAAAGACAATAACACTTTAACAAAACCCGGGGGCAGGGGGAATCAAGAACATTATTAAAGCCTGTAACAAAATCCTAGACAATGTCTACGGTATTTTACGGGCATGCATGAAAAGGTCTGTCTAGTTCAGTGAACAATTACGTCCATTGCTAATCAGTTTCTAAAAATGTCAGTTTCCTGTGCGTATGTACTTTGAAGAATTCGACTTTCACTCAGAGATTAATTGTTCCAGATCAATAGCATAAAATAATGCAGGGTGCCCAAAATTGCAGTGCTGCTGCCTGAAACTCAACTATTTTGCGGACAAAGGAGCATCATGATCAGAACTCTCAAAACTTAATAAGCTCTCAGCAGCACTCATTTCCAAAAAACTCTAGATGGAGTCACAAGAAAGCTACTGCTCGTTACAAGTCAGTAAGGTAGACTAGACACAGCTTTTTCACACTGGCTAGTTTTAGCCACTTAAGATGAAAGGAAAATCAATCCCACCCAGAAAAACGTGACTGAAGAGAACAAACAGCATGATTAAATGTATACATCAGATGTAATCATATGTCACCAATACCAAGAGGACTTAAAACTTCGTACATTTTCTTGACAAATCTAACATATCTCCAAAAGATGAATAACATCAAGGTAACGAATTGACTCAAGCCTTCATTCAACAAGCAGAACAAGACATTTCCCCTCCTCCATTCACCACAGAGAATCACACCCCATTATGAAATGGCAACACAGAAAAGCCTGTACTTTTTCCTTAAAAGCAGAGCATAAATTTGCAAAACTATCAATGCAAGGAATTTTTCAAATGATAGCTTGAAAGTCTGCTGAAGGCTGAACAAATTGTGGATCCAATTCTCTAGCCTGAACAACAACTGACACTTATCTAAAAGCTTGAGGCCAATGCACAGCATGAAACCTATACACTTCAAGACAGAGATTTGCTGTGTCTCACTGAATGTATCAGACTCAAAAAAAAAGGGTCAGCAAAACATTTACCAGAACAGAAGTGACAAGTGGCTAAATTTGTTGAATAAAGATTTTCTATCAATCTCACTTGTCCCGATTTGCTTATTGGTATGCAATGGCATTTGTTTGGATGTGTTTTGTTAGAATGATTTATGATTCGATAACCTTTTCAAAAATCTTGTTTTATTTAGCAATAAGAAATTACTTAATTCAGCAATTAAAGTGTCCAAGGACAAGCCTTAAGGAAAAAGGTTTTGAAGGTTATGAGTGTCAGCACTAGGGCAAAGTATGAAAACTAACAGTATTCTTTTGAGGTTGCCGTTGTACATGTAGCAGATGTTTCCAACGTTTGTACATGCAAGCCAGGTGATATGCATCACTTTGGTTTTAAATATCCTGGTAGCCACATCATTCTTCAAGTAAACCACTGATTGTTAGTAAGTGTAATAGTTATAAAGCTTTTCTTTAAAAACAAACCGTTACTTAGACTGAAACCCAGTTTTGCTCACTTGATTTTGATGATATCCATGCCGGTCAAAGTGAGACTAACGTGATCTCCTGCTGCAGCCCAATCAACTGGTTCATCATGCAGTGTGATTCCTGGAAATGAGTAAGAACAGAACCTCACAGTGAAGTACCTAGGTTCTGAGCTACAAACAAACAGTTCTGTTTGGGCCATTTGTGCTTCATCAACCATTACTCATCAATTTTCAGTATGAATGGGTTGAGAGTAAAAGCTTTTTAACTAAGAAGACTGAGGAAGCTTTTTTTTTCCCCCTCTTGGTGAGGACTCACTATTCTTTCACCCCACCCTGCACAATAACATGGCTTTATTAAGCCAGAGGAGGGGACCTGGCACTAGTCACACAGCGCAGATGACGCAGTCCTGAAAATGCCGTAGTACAAATATCTCCATATCTGCCCCACCCATCCTTTGAGGCACACGCACGCCCTAGACCGCATCTTTCATATACTTTAATGGTACTATGTCAACTTTCATTTACCTTAAGCGGGTTTGCTGACTCTTTCATAAAAAAGCGTAACTGATGCCTTTCGTTCACCACATTGCATCTATTAGAAAGCAATTTTTAAAGTAATTTTATTCCGATTTTTATGTATTTTAATCACTTTAAAAGATAACCTGGCTGGTGGGTGAGGACAAAAGTAATTGCTCCTGACTTAACATTCTCAGGTTTCTGGTAGGAAAGAAAAAAATTCCACTTTTTATAAATACTGCATACATTTATAGGATCTAGGTCTATTTTGCTACAGATTGTATTTATTGATTCGCAAATCTGTTCCCAAAAAACACTTGTCAAAAACATGCCAGAAAGCATCATTCATCTACAAGCATGTTAAGTGCCATTTTTTAAGCAGTGTTGATAATTATTTCACATATACGTGTCATTCTCACAGAGTAAGTAAAACTCAGCCTCTTGAAATGAAAAACTGGAATCCTAATACGCACACTACCTTTGGTAATTATTGTATGATAAATTAAATTCTCTCTTCTTTACATTAACTATAAATAAAACATGCTTAATGAACTAATACCCCCAACCTTCACCTGCATTTCAGCCATATGAGAGGCAGTATAAAAGAAAAATCATAGAATTGTACCGTTGGGATACTCAGACAAAATACATCTTTTCCCATGCTACTTCTTCCACTCCCCAAACAGAGAAGTGACTACATTGGTCTGATACCCATATTCATCCATGTTACTGTAACATTCCTGTTCTTGTGAACACTGTGAATACAACCATATAAACGGGCACACTGAAGAGCTTCCCAAATTAGCACTGAACAAGATGGTTTTGGAACAGAACAGGACAGTCAAACCAGCACATTGCTGAATTCACGTTAAATAGTTAAAGAAACCTATTCATTTATTTTGTGGGTTTAATTTTCTATTAAGTGGTCAATGTAGGAAAATCCTCATTTTATCTTTCTCTTTGCGTAGGAAACAAGAATTCTGCAGTACAGACAGTAAGCTTAATCAGGAAACAGCTAAACATTTAATGTCTTGACTTAGCTATTCCTCTTTTCAGAGATCAAATGTGTTGAGATTTAGATCCAATTTTCTTCTCTTTTGTAGCTGCTCAGGACAATTATACTCTGAAAGTTTGTATATTATGAAAGGATCAGTGACAAATCTCATGAACATAAACAGTAGAGACTTAATTCTCAAGCTTTTTTACATCTAATTCATAAGATTAATTTCTAAAGGTAGCTCAACATCCTCACACTTCCTAACAGCAGTAACACTCCACAGCAAAGCTGCATATTAATGATTCCTGTACTGCATATTTTATAGACATTGCTGGAACTCAGATGTTTTTGCAGGTTCTTCATTAAGCAATGTCAAAAGTCATGAGGCTGTAACATTTGGAATATCTGATATGGTAAAAAAGTAAAAAAAAAAAAAACAAACATGCAAGATTTCACATACTCTTCATAGACATATTTATACAGACACAGTCACATCTAAAGAAATTCGTTTTATGCTTTCACATTTTATGTTTGACAGTTAGTATCAGTTTGACAGTCTGTTACCATTTCAGTAACTGCTTCTAGCCCGGTATTGACCTGAAAGTAAACATGCTTCTGAAGACTGTACCTTTTGCAGTGCAAGTTTCATTGGGAGGCATTGCCAGAAGTCGTTCTCCAACTTGAATATAGCCTGCTTCTATTTTACCAGTCACACAAAATCCCGATCCTTGATCTGTAATAAATACAGTAATAATTTAAAAAAACTTCATAAGGTCAATTTCCCATCACAAGTTAGCCCTTCAGCAATGCATAGATAAGTTTTTAATATAATGAAGATGAGGGTTTTTTTTCCCAGTAGAGTGTTCAGTACTTGCAAGTTAGCCAGCTGTGCATCATAATGAAAATGAAACATTAAATTCAAAACCTCTAGATCTTATGTTTTTCAGAACTAAGGGAGAAATATCCTTCTTTAAACAAATGTAGGTGCATGAAGAAATATTTTTTAGTTTTTCAATATTAGATTAATTTCTAGCAATTTTATTTAATTTGGCATTTTCTCATTACAATTACAGATAAAAAAAAAACAAACCATACCACAGACATCTCAAAAATTCTCATCCATACAGATGCAAAATCCTATGCCACTTGCTGATTAACTGAGTCAGAATCCTGTATGCTCTGCCTGCAAACTAGTTTTAGTCCTGGAAAGTCAAAGATCGATTCAGTCCTATTAAATATGAGGAGCTATTATAATTGTGGATGACTTAAGTATTTCTGAATAAAAGATCAGCAAAGCTTTTCTTCTTCAGTGTCCTAATACTCTGCTCATTATTTGAATGATATGTCAGTTATTTTCAATAGATGTGCTACGTGTGCACATTTACACACATACACCTTAAGAATGCCTCATCTCCTCAGCAGGTGTTTGCAGGTGTGTTTAAAAAGAATCCTCCGAACTGATTCCACAAAGGCATTTTCTGTATCCATACAAACAACAAATACACCTTTTGCTGAACAACAGAATTCAGTGATAAGCAAGCATCTTAGTATTTTGTCACATTAGACTAAAAGCTTAATTTAAAGCAGAATTCAAAAGAGCAAGTTGATCTCAAATCTTGAGGTCACATACAACCAACTTGTGTTCATCACCATTATTGATGAATGCTTCCACCTATTTAGCTGGGAAAACATTACCAGTATGCCTGCAAGCTAATTTCCTCTATTCATTCCAGCAAATGAGATGAATGTAGTCAATTAACAGATGACATCAGTTGTCAAAGAACAGAAAGCTGGAGAAGCAGATACCTGCTACAAAAGAATCCCCAAGTCACCCCCAAATACCACCAAAATTGATATGGTACACAAAAGAACCTGAAGCCGGCTCTGCAAGCACTTGCAGGCAACCAGAAACATGAACTGGTTCCATGTTCCAAACCACTCCCAAGCACGATCAAGAACCATTTCTCTTTTTTTCACATCATCACCAGTTTCAGCTTGGTAAACCAGCTTGGTGTTTGAAGCTTCACCCTCTCCCATGCTGATTGCTTCTTCAAAGCGTTAAGTTCCTTCAGCTCCACATGAAATCAATGCAAGTACAAAGCTGATAGCAGTGGGACAGAATCAGGGCACAAAAAATGGCCTGACTTCTGTGTATCATGGTACCTGGGTTCTGCCAGGACACGTTCTCTGTCCTCGGGATTTGGCTGCTGGACAAGGCTTTTCTAAAGTCAGGTCAAGTCTTACCCTAGACAGCAGCATTATAATATGGGGATATCATTATAATATGGGGATAGCAGTATAATATCAGTGGGGACTGATGCAGAGGTGAAGGAATTTAAAGGGACCTCTTGGATCAGGAGACAGTTTGCCTGGAGAGAATATCAGGAGGGCTATGGAGGACAAGATCCAAAATGAGGCTGAGGTAGATGAATCATATGTGTGGGTAACCTTAATAAAGAAAGGGGTTTTCCAAACTATGTAAGAGTACACTCAGCACTCTCACTCTTTACACACTTCTACGGACAGCTCTCCTGAGTTTGCACAGGCACTGGAATAGAGCTAACAACTGTTGCTTCATGTAGTCATACCTGCAGCTACTTCCTCTGGTGGCATCCAAGTTAATTAAGTTTTGAGATCACAAGGTAAGAAAAAAAATAGCCTAGAAAACACCTAAAAGGCCACATTTAGTGATAAATCCTGTATATGTAAATTGAGTCCCTTCCAAAGCCATTATTTTTTGCATGCTTTAGCAAAAAATCAGACTTTTCCACAGAACTGATTTAGTAAAAATTGCTCATTTTGTGAAACTTAGCTCAACACAAAAATTATTATTGCAACAAAAAAGTTGAAAGATCTCTATCAATAATCCTAACACACTCTCCTACAGGTCACAAAATTTAAAAAAAATACAGTGACGGCCTAGATGACAAAACTAGTGGCATCACACCAGCATGAATTCTCATGCAAGGTTTTAAATATTTAATGTTATGGCTTCAGTACCTTAACTCAGGTAATCCAGGGCATGTACAGCATCTAGTGTTTTCTCAAAGACCCACATGAAAAATTACAAAAAACTGATTTTTCCAATTGCAATTGATATTTTGATCTGGTTTATTTGTACTTCTCATATACACCCCCTATATATAAAGTAATTTTTATTTTAAAATATGAATTTCAATAATAATATTTGATTACACATATTTACAATATTTCATACCACGCTGTCATTTAGTTTGCAACATTTCTCAAGGGACCTACAGCACACTTTAAATAGTACTAGTGTTACAAGCATATTTTTTATAAATTACCTGTAAATGTAAATGCATTTAACAGGAAAAAAAAAAAAAAAACAAGTTTACCATTAAAGCCTAAAGGGCTCAAGGTAGTCTGTTTTCTCCAGAATAAAAACTGGTTATAGTTACTTGCTGTCCATACCTCTGGTAGTGTTAGGGAATAGCTAGCTGCCTTTCATTAAATCCTTGGTTGGTTACTGCAGTCTCACAACATTTTCTCCCACCTCACCTCCCCAGATTTTTATACAAAAGTGAAGGAATTTATCATTATTTACAGCTACAACAATTAACATAAAAGAAACAAGTCAAACTTTCTTAAAATATAGGAGTGGAAGGTCGAAGAGCCCAAAGTCACACTCGTAAAAAGTTTGAGAAACATTCATTTAGGCAACAAGAACCAGTTTGGGAAAAAGAAACTCCCAAACTCCCACAGAACCATCAACTCGTAAGTTAGCCAATTAGCTAATTAAGCAGATTTTCTTCCTCACTTTCTTTTCTAGTGTGCTTCTCTCCTTCAGTGCTACTATCTAAAATTACACAAAAAACAGTGCTTGAAAACTTATTAGTCCTGTTCAAGACTACAGATACACATAAAGCTCCAACTTAAAGTCTTATTTCTACATCATTTCTCAACACTTGTGTTAAATATTGGTGAAATGATGGTGAAAAATATTATAAAAACAACCAACCTTTAAAAACATCAGCAACACACAGCCTAAATGGTTTATCCACTGATCTCTGTGGCGGCTTGAAAGAATCTGCAAATAAATTGATAAGACCTTTTAGAATCTCTGTATGCAATAACTTCTCACTCAGGGATAAATCAACTATATTGCATACCACAAACGTTTTCTCACATTTGCCCCAAAATAAAAGTTTTGACATACACAGGATTAAGATATATTAGTTTTTAAATGAGGAAAACTGCACTCACCAATTTGCTCTACTAAACACTTTCCTTTATACCACTGTGTGAGGTCACTTGACTGACCCCTTGTGACCAGATTTTCACCACCAAGGCCACTTGTTGGGATATAAGCCACATCTGATTCCTAATTAAGAAAACAAACAGAAGACAGGCATACATCAACAACAGGATCTCTAGTAGAAGAGATGCATTTTTGTTCCAATATCATGCATCTAAGCTATAAAAGAACAGTTGACACATTTGTACTTCCCCTGGAGAAGGCAGATTACTCAGTGGATCCATTTCCTTTCTGTTTACCTCTTGCCTGATCACAGTGCTCCAACAAAGAGTTGGAGATACTTTAACATGATGATAGCAACATTAACAACTAGAAACTGAGGTCAGGTAACGAATTCCAATTCCATATCTGACAGGCAAAATTTCAGTTTGAATTGCTGGTTTATGCAAAGGTATTTCAGGAAGGCCACAGCTAGTCTAAACGGACAGTAGTTGGAAATAAAGAAATGTGAGAAGAACAGTCAACAATGGCAAATAGAGAGTGTTCTTTTGAGTCCATAATCAATACTGACACCTGCTCTGGTATAAAAATCTCTACTGTCATTCATGTAATCCTGAACATTAAGACAGATGATCCTTGGTCTCTTCTGAAGCAGAATCCCAAGAAAAATCCCAAAACACTATAAATGAGGTGAGGGCCCCAAAGATTCAACAGACCTAAGCAAAGATGATGACAGAGTATTAAAGAACTGACTAACCTTATGCAGGGCTCATTGTACACCCTACCCGTAAGAAAAGGAATCTGCTATACTATGTGCACATAGTAGTAGCAGGAAAGTGACACAAAACAACCTGGCTGTAAGAAAAGCTCATCCTGCCCAAATGACTGAACAAAGCAACAAAGACCTCAGAAATTTACATTACCTTAAAGCCAGCTTGTTTAAGAAATTGGCCGAGCTTACTTGTAATTTCCTGAAATCTCTCCTGTTGCCAATTGACCTAAAATCGAAAACAGATTATGATAATAAAATTGTGTAATTTTAACCATGACTCAAATATACAGCTGAAAGTCATCAACTCTGTATTACCAGTAGGTGTTCTTCACACATAGCACCCAATGAATTTATAAATTTGAAATTTCCAGGTGGATGCATAGTTAAAATACATAAGAGCATACACATTAACAATTAGCGATAACAAACCACACATCACTTAACTTGCAAGCCCCTTTAGTTTGATCTGTCCTTGAACAGCACCTTGGGTTTTTTTTTTTAAGTTTATAGAAAATTCAGATTCAGAGAGAATATATACAACACAGTAATAATCTAAAACACAACTAGTAATATTTAACACACAGGTTTAAATAAGGCTTTTGGGGTGTTGACCTGAATGACCACCAAGATGCCTTTGCAGATGTCACTGGGTTAACTGCTTATGTGAGATTTTCGCAAGTACAAGAGGGTCCTCTACTCATTTTAGCACCAAAACTATCTTTCTGCATGCTTTGAAAATACTCCCATAAATAAAAAGTACTGTAAAATCTAAACACAAGAGACAGAGCTGAGAATCAAAGAAAGAAACACTTTATTATTAGTTTCACAATATCAATCCTTAAACATAGGGTCCATAATCCTAGATGGAAGCCTTTAAATTAAATGAAAAAATTAAGCACATACCTGGTCCATTTTATTGACTGCAACAGCTAGCTGTGTCACTCCCAGAGAGCGTACTAATAATCCATGTTCTCGAGTTTGTCCACCTGTCTCAAACCCTGCTTCAAACTCTCCCCTGCTAGCATCCACAACCAAAATAGCCACATCAGCCTAGATTAAAAGAAAATACAACCAAAAGCGATTAAGAGGTGGAAATAATCTGGGTAAATAGGTCAATCTGCAATATTTCACACTAAATGTACTTTACACAGGAGGAATCTTGATGTGCTTCAAATGTAATTGAAACTGCTCAGTTCTACCTGTGCCATGCCCACTTTGGTGAAATGTTACCATGTTATGGCATGGTGTCATTTATGTCATAAACTACCACTTTCTGTTAAACACAAGACAGGCTGGTTTTGGGAACCTGTCCTCTTCAAACTACCTATTACGGACGTGTTGCATAGACATCAACTAAACAAAAGCAGCCCATGCTGCAGAAGCTTCAGAACAGTATGAACACAACGTCCAGTTCTCCCTGCCTCACTCTAGACAGCTTCACAGAGAGAAGCTGCAAAAATTACAGATAAATCAACTCACTATACAACTAAGACAACTGGTCAACTGCATTTTGTCTGTGGATGCTTCACAGTCCACTCAACACACTGGAGAATACCAAAATCATAAGGTGGAAAAGACCAAGTAGCCTATTTTATTATCTAGGTAAACTCTCTGCCACAGCATTAAGAGCAAATAGGTATCACACACCCTACAGCACTTGCACAACAGTCAGCACGTAAGCACAGGGAAAAACAACAGATTTTGCTCTTAGCTTTAAATGCTGCTAATACTTCTATTTTCCTGCTTTGGTAAGGTAACAGCCAGTTAGACCTTCATCACATACCAAGCAACAGATGTGAATAATAAAGGTACTGCTGTCAAGAGGCAGGTATAAGACAATTTTATAGGACTAATCAGACCAAAATAATGGAAAGAGAGAAGAAAAAAAAAAAATAGTGGTGACATCTCCCTTTCCTTACATGCCTATGCTTTAGGATCCAGGAGAAAGAACAGAGACAGCACATTGTCCTGGCTCTGAATTCCCCTTGCCTTGTCCTAGATGTGAAATCCCCACAGCTCATACAGAGACAGTGCAAGTGTGAGAACGGGAAAAGTATGAGGGACTAATTTCCCCACAGCTCTCAGGCTCAGAAGTGCATTGTGGTAAACTTCTCCTTCAAAAAAAAGGACATCTTGTATTTTCTCAATTATAAAAACCTCACCTCGGCATTTACGTGAATTAAGCATATGTATCAAAGGCCAGATCCTGGCCCCGATAAGGCTGATTTGCATTTTGCACAACAGCAGTTGGGGATTCACCTCCTAACAGAATTCTCCATGATAAAAAGACATCAGAGCCATTTCCACATTTGCTTTCTTCCACCCACTGCTTCAGCGCTGAGCCTACTCTAATAGGCAACAGAAACTCACAAAGTTTCAGTGATTCCTTAACAGGCTTCAGAACAGACCAGCCACTCGCCATCCTGACAGCTAAGGGAACACAAAGATACCAAGTTATTTAACCAGCCTCATCTTCTCCTGAACTGGTACAATTGCTGGTGGATCTGCAAGTCTTCTCTTAACACTTCTGCCTGTATTACTTTTCTCCCAAAAAAAAAACAGATTTACACTAAAGTTGTAAAGAAAATGGCATGGCTGAGTCTACATTCTCCACTGTTCTGAAACTAAAGATCCATTTCTAATTTAAAAGCTCCTGAACTTCCTACAACATATGCTCCAAATTTAGATAACTGTACAAGCTCTACACCATAATTTGCAAACTTCTGACTATTCTGCAGCCTAACCACTGCATCGCAAGGTCTGAATTCTTACCCAGGCTCTGCTCCTGAGCTAGAACAGAATTTGGGGCAAACCAGTCTTCCTACAGTATAGTTCTCTATCTCTAAAAATCTTACTAACAGTAGTCATCCTTACTGAGATCATAAGATAAAACTCACATTTCTGACTGGAGTGGTATGCACAAAGCAAAAACTTCTACCTATTAGCTTAGGTTGGGAAAAAAAAAATCTTTGATTACGCCTCTACTTTGGAGAATCAATATTACTATTTAAAAAAGATTGCCTTTCATTGGAAAAAATGTCACGTACTTTATGTCTTGTAACCACATGTTACTCTTCCCCCCCTCTATTATTTCCATAAATTAAATAACGAGCCTACATGACAATGGTAAGTGCCATAGTGAATTCAACAGGTAGTGGAAATACTTTTGACTTTACCTACTGTTCCTAAAGCAAGTGGCATGTAGTCTCTGCAAATGTCCTACTGACAACATAGATGCTTTCTGCATAAACTTTATGTTTTCTCATCCTGTATTGTTAAACAGAATAATGTCTTTTGTTTGACTTCTCCAAATCTTTTTTCTTTTAAGCTCAAAACTACTTAAAAACTTTACCTACAAGACCACTTTCACAGATCTTCTTGTTGAGTAGACATATGCCACACCTGAATAGCTTTCAAAGCTCAACTCTGATTTTACCAAACTGCAACTTGGTATTAAAATTACACCCCTACTAAAACTCTACTCCAAAAAGTTAACGTCCCAAAAAAAGAAAAGCAGCTGCCTTTACAGTTAAACAGATAAATTTTCTAAACATAAAATATAATGTATGATAAACCTCAAAGATATCTTACCACCATCAATGATTCCATTCCACCTTAGATTTTAAAAGAAGAAAACCAACTTAAGAAAAAGTTATAAATAATAATGCTATTGGGAAAAGTGTTCTAGACTATCTCTACCTGTGCAGCTCCCGTGATCATATTTGGAATGAAGTCTTTGTGGCCTGGAGCATCCATCAGCGTAATTACTTTAGTCTTTGTCTCGAATTTGGTCATACCCACATCCATTGTCACTCCCCTTAAACAAAGCATACACACAACACCCCATTAAAACTGCTTTGAGAGCTTCAGAGATATAAAGCAAGCTATTAAAAACACAATCATAAAATTATACACTTCATAGGTTTCACTTGATTTAGCCTGCGCAAAAAAAATGTAAAGAAACCCACTTGCTGGAAAAGCAGACCTATAGAGCTGCCTTTCATTAATTCTAGTCATGAAGAAACAAACACTCAGAATTCACAGTACTAACTCCACAAATCTATAGATGATATCCCAACAAGCACAGTGAGATCCATGCAAATCGTACTGTGTATTTAAATCATTACTGATTCTATTTTTCATACTTAGCTCTTCAGATAAAAGCATGATAGAATAACAGAAACATAGCCAAGAAATAAAAAAATAGAAGGTATGGGACTATAGGAATACAGCTACTCATTTGCAAAGATCCACATCAGAACTACTGATTATCGAGGAGGGACTGCAGCACTTTGACTCAGTTCCACATCTCGGTAGCAACCACATGTTCTGCACGGTACACAGGACAGGATTCACCTGATCAAATGCAAACACTTAACATGCACATGTCTGTATCTGGGTTAGCCATCTGCATCTCCCTTTACAGACGATGAAGACAGACAGGCACTTTCAAAGGACAAAACTTCTCACATTAGCACAGATACTTAAAATATGCTACTTACAATGACAAAAAAACCCAACAAAATAACCCCCCCAAACCCCCAAACATTTACAGATGGCTCCAGAAAGTTTTTCTTTAAAAATACAAAACTCAGAGAAAACAGAATCAATCAGAAATACCAATTCAGAAAACTTCTCCCGTAAGAATTACCATTTATCTTCTGAAGGGAAGTCTAGTACTTAAATGCACAACTGCTGGACACTAAAAAACCATCACAGACCAAGGGATACCACTTCTAAGGCTCATGGCAACTATTCCACAAACTTTACTTTCTGTTAACATTTTATTCTTCGCAGGCAACAGATACTTGTCTCTATTTCCAGTTTCTCATGTTAATTACATCATATCAAAGGTAGTTTGTATCAATAAAATAACATATTATTCTATTACAGATCTGTGAAATTGCCAAAGTTTGTCCATTTTACACCCAGCTACATCTATGAGGATAAAAAAAAATAAAAATAAAAATAAAAATAAAAATAGACCTTCCCCCCATCAGCTTTTCCTCTTTTACAGCCTTAGACGTAAGGTCACAACAACACTACCACTACAATATCATCAGCCTTAGCTGATGTAAGGCTACTTTTAAAAATTGTGTTTGACTGCTTTGGGATTGTTCCCTCCTTACCCATACCTGCATCCCCCCCGCAACACACAGCCCCCTGCTCAGGTTTATATGTGCACTCGTAAATTAAAGGACCCACATAGGCAAAAGTTCAGCTGTATACAAGGACACGGCAAAAGTATATCCACCTTTAAAAACAACAATTGCCTTACTCCATGTTCTTCAGCATCAGTTTACATTGTGAAGGCTATCTTTTCAACCAGAAGAGCCTAAATGCTATGAAACCATGGGTGACAAATGACTATATAAATATAAACACATAAGAAAATGCCTTTTTTTAAATTTTGTGAACACAGAATATAATGTCTTTAGCCTCCCATATAGTCTTGTTAAAAGTTTTTAAAGTTTTGTTTTGTTTTTAAATTAGCTTCATTGCTTCCTCATATACTTTTTCAATATGACATTTGATTTTAAATTTTGGATTTCAAGTTAATAAAGGCAGTCTATAAAGAATACAAATATAATTTATTAATTTAATTAATTTATAGATTTTTATAACCAACGTAATTGAAGTCATGTGTGATGAGCTGACATTTCAGTGCTTAGTTTATAATTCTGAGACCTTTTCACAGAAAAATTTAACCTAGAACTTTCCCATACAACAATAACCAAACTGATAGAAGTTTGGCAGCAATAAACCTGTTAGGCAGCTTTAAATGAACTAACTCGGCTACTAGAAGCATTCCGCATTATAGTCCTACACTGCACTCCACAGCATAGAAATACTCAACTTCTCATTCACATTTCTTAAAACCAAACAAGGATATTGAATTTTTCTTTTGATAACATGTTCTCATCTAGAGAAAGAACATTGTTTCCAAATACATATTGAGTAAATATCTTTAGACATTTAGAATATTTCTACCAAAGCATTATTAGTAGATTTGGTATTTCCTAGCAAATGCTGTTCTTTCATGAAAAAAGGTAATTCCCATTAAAAGATATTTCTACCTTTCTCTTTCTTCACCAGTTTCATCCAAGACCCATGCGTAGGCAAATGAAGCTTTGCCAGCCTTCTTAGATTCCTGTTCGTATTTGTGCATAGTTCTTTTGTTCACATTTCCCAAAAGGTAGAGCAGATGACCCATTAAAGTGCTTTTACCTGCATCAACATGTCCTATGGAGGAAAATAAATATTATATCAATTTTATTAATTTACACATTTTAAATGTAGTACAAGAAGAAACATACCAAAACATGAAAATCACATGCACTAATAATCCTTAGGCAATTCATAGAATCCTGTAAGACAGAGATACACAGAGACAGTTTATTGAAACAGTTACCAAGACCGCCTTATAGCACCTCCAAATTCATACTAAAAAAACACACAGAGAGGTGGCAGAAGCTCCATCCCTGGAAACATTCAAGGTCAGGTTGGAAGGGGGTCTGAGCAACCTGATCTAGTTGAAGATGTCCCCGCTCACTGCAGGAGGGTTGGATTAGATGACCTTTAAAGGTCCCTTCCAAACCAAAACTTTCTGTGATTCTATACATTTTACTATACTGTCAAAAGGAAGCTAAGTCAACCTCATTTTCCTAATCAAGGACATCTGAATGTACTCCCTCCAAAGAATAACAGTCAAGTAGATGCGACTGAAGACAGTATGAGAATGCCCTTCCCTGGAGAAAAGATAGTTTTGCTTCTGTATCATTTCCAGATCAACACAGTTTTTAATCTCTATGTTTGCCAAAGATGTACTTTAACAGTATTACCTATTACCACCAAATTAAGCAGTTGCTTTCCTCCTTGTCTCTTCTCCAACTCTGCTTTCACATCTATTTGTGGCTTTGTCTTGCTTGACTTTTTTAACGGAGTAGGCACCGCATTCTGCTCTTCTGAAACCTGCACTACTTGGGGTGAAAGAGTAGATTTTGATACTGCCTCAAGTACCCCAGAAGCTACACTAGTGTCTTCAGTTAACAGTCCTTTCTGAGGTGTGTTAGCATGGCCATTTTCTTCAGCAATCACACTAGGGGAAAAAAAAAGAAAACACAAGGAATGCAAAATGAAAAAGAAGCCACAGAAATACAGGACAGAAATTGAATTTTCCCTTCATTATCATATAAGTCCCCGATAAAGAGTACGTGATAAGTCCATTAAGTTGGAAGTGATAAGCAGCTGGATATAAACTGCATAGATACCAGCTCTGAATATCTTGTCTGAAAAGCACTGTGTACAGAAGTAAGATAAGAAATAATCTTGTAAAATGCATGAAACAGATAAACAAAAGCTTCCCACAGCCACTTCTTTTAACAGGGAGGGGAAAGGACAGTTGTGCAGAACTCTGAAGTAAGAGTCCAAGTCAACTCTGAAGTATCGATCCTAAATCAGCTTCCACATACACTGTAAGTATTACAGCTGAACATAGTGATGTACTATTGCAAGAAGAATATAGCATAAAGAGTAGATAATAAGCATATCTGAGCTGCAATTTAAGGTGCAATATTTATGTAGAGCCAGAGCAAATGAGTTACATTTATTAAAATTGAGACAATTTGTTTTATGCATAAAACAAGGCACCTAGGACTAAAGAGATCTGGATGTCCCAACTCTCCTTCTCTAACCTCCTGTTCTCCCACAGCTCACCTTAGTAATCCTAATACTAAACAATCCTAAATATATTATTTTCTTACACCGTCTCACTCTTTTTCTCTCTGAATTGCAAATAAGGATATTTTCCTAATTTACACAAGCGTTCTGAGAACATACAATATGATTCTTCACCTGTTATGGCAAAGATGACCACTAAAAACAAACACCAAGTAACATCTTCAAGAGAGCAAAAGCTTTCTTAGTGCCTGACAGAGCTCCATGGTGAGGCATTAACGTAAGCAGCAAGGCAGGAACAGAAGCAGTTATTACAGGTGTGACAATGGCACACTTCAATATACAAACCACTGGCCATTACAGTATATTGAAAATACCTACAAAATATTGTATTTAAAACTTTATCCAAGGAGAAGAGGCTTCTTCCCCTGGAAAACTGGAAATCCTTTCCAATGCAGTACGACTGTGCTGTGGGCTGCTTGCTGTGGAGTGGATTTATGCAGACTCTCAGACTCAAGTGTCTCCATAATCAGTGTCAGTTTTTCACTCTCCACTTTCTGTTTAGGTACCACAATTTACTTCTCAGTTTTCCTCTTTTCAGCCTCTATAAACAAAACCAAAACTACTTATTTTGGTACTTCAGAATCCCACATTGTGACATCTCTGCTTTTATTTGACCTTACTTCTCATTTTCTGTCTGCATAGGAGTATTTGCATTGTATTAGTCCCTTTCCATTACATCTGTCTCAGGAAACAATGTAGTCCAAGAATGTTAGTCACTGAACAAAGCAGTTGAAGAATTATGATCTGAAAAACTAAACCTAGGAAATGTTCCGACTGAACACAAAATTAAGCCTCTCATTATAGCACTAAGCAACACAGAACATTTTACAGGTCTTCCCCCCCCCCCATTTCAGAGCTCACCTATGTAATCAGTACTGCAACAGACTGATTTATTTTCACACCTTTTTCATAAGGTACAAAGCCAAGTTTTTCTCTTAATTGTGAGACCCCAAAGCAGAAATATGAGCACTTGGGTTTTTTTGCAACAGTCCCACAACCCAAGGCCAGGGTCTTGCATCAAGGCTGGACACACAAGCACATTCCTCAAATTAGCTAAGCAAAAAACTTAATGTCAGCCATGCTGGCTGCAGGGGCACAGATGGTACCTGTGCTTCTGCATAATGCACAGACAACTCTGTATACAAAGTCTATTCACAAGAACTTATCCTATCAAAATATTCTAAACCACTTGAAGGAGAATGACAAGCTTATATCAAACTACTGCCTTAGGTCACACAATCAAAACATTTTAGACTTGACACTTCAAAATCAGGTGTACGGTATCACCAAGTACAGCCTTATACAAGCTCCACTACGTAACATCGTATCTTGACAACCTGAATACCCTTTATAAGAAGATACACTTGCTGATGACACAAAGCTGGGAGGAGTGG